ATTGCTTATCGTAGTGTGGAGCCGAAGCAATGGGCAATCCGTCGAGTGACAGCGAAATCAAATGTAAGGTGTGTGGGGATGCTTCCAAGGGGCAAGTGTTGAGCTTGGATCCGTGGTGATAAGTCTGCTTCTGTTCCAGCCCCATGTTTCCATGGGGAACGAAAGCAAGCAGGATTTTCAAGATGGTGTTGGTTATATTGCTACAACTCTGATGTCAACCATACAAAGCGGCTTGAAGACACTATAGTGACTAAACCTGATGCAGTACCTAAAGAATGGCCGGTTGCTAATGGGGTTGCGCTCACATCGGATGAGATTGAAAACCTTGAGAAATCTGGTTTCAATCTTGAGAGGAGAGTTGGAAATATGAGTGACAAAACCAGGACTATTCCTACAGAGATGCACAGGAGGCCAGCACGAAAAGGTAAGGCAGTTAAATTTATTGGTACCGTCTCCAAGCAGAAGCAAGGTAAAATAAACTTGGCTCAAACACTTGAGTGTGAGATTCTCTCCACGAAGTACATCACTGCGCTCGCAAAAGAGTACATAGTCAAAACAGAAGGTGGAGAGTACACAATTGCCATTCAAGACTTTCCTTCTTGCATATGTCCAGACTTTACGAAGCGCGAGGAACATGGGAAGGCATATGCTCCTTGCAAGCATATGTACTACATCTTCATCAACATCTTGCACCAGGACCCTAAAGTGGATATTCATATACACCAAGCAAGCCTTACTATTGCTGAGTTGCAGAAAACTTTTGGAGCTAATTAGATTTTCCAGCACTATCGATGTTTATTCTCTATCAATAATATAAACTAATTATACCTTATATAATTAATAAAAATATTTTATTATTTCACTTTTCATTTCATATACTTGTAAGGTTCTTTTCGCAATACTACCCATAGTATTTGTGAGTCTCCATTTTTGTCTTTACCTTCTCAAAAAATATTTCGTGATAGTCTTTCGGGTGTATGATGTTACAATGTATTGTGAGAGCATATGTACCATCACAGTTTTTTTTTTTTTCCTTTCAAATGGTTATATGGCCTTATATAGAATCTTAATTCAAATTTAATAATTTAAAAATTCTGATGAACCTGACATTTACTAGCTAGAAAGCACAGAGTACAAATTTAAAGAAGTGACAAGAATACTCTTTTTGCAAACATTTTATTTTATATTCTAACACACGTCTCTATTATTGCATGTAGTAAATATTTAAATTATTAGAACAAGAAGTGTCCTTTAGAACATTTTTATCTATATAATATATAGAGAGTTATGAAATTATTAAGTTCGCCATAACTTTAAAATTTTAAAGTTTATAATGTTTGTACTAAATTACAATTGAAAATTGAGCTCAACTCGTGAACTCAACTCTTCAACTCGTGAGCTCAAGTATGGTCCACGCTCCTTATGGCTTGATCGTGAATCTTGGATCAGGGCGTGGGAGCAAATGTGATTGAGAGTAAAATGGGTGACGAGCAGAAAAAGAAATATGCCCATTAAAGGCAAAATGCTGGATGTCGCCAGCATTCTTATTTGCACTTCTATAAGTTCATATAACGTTCGCTAGCTTACTTCCACCTTGAATTGGAGCCCAGATGATGAGATTTCTTACCAGATTTTCTTGGCTTTCCGAGGAAGAAACTTTCTAGCATCGACAAAAACAGAGAAGGCAAATGCCGTAAGACACTCCGACTCGATGTAAAAACACCCACTACTCGCTCGATCAAAATCCCTGATCCTGGATCCTTCACTGGGACTGTCCCAGTGGAGACAGAACCAAGCTCTGCCTCCCAGTGGGAATGATAGAGCTACGAGAATGCCTGTGCGTTATCTATGAGCATATGCCACTCTTCTATACTCTTTGAATTTTCCATTAACAAGTAGCCATGAAAACTAGGGCTTTTGTGGAGCTATGGCGCTCCCAGAGCAGGGAGTTCTTCTCTACTACAAGTTCGTCACGCTGCCGGATCCCGAGGCGACCAGGGACTGGTTCGAGCGATCGTGTTCTTCGCTGGCGCTGCTGGGGAGGATACGGATTGCGCCCGGGGGCGTCAATGTCACGGTATGTGAGTGGCATTCTCTGGAAATTCTCTGTGTTCTCACGGATTCTTGCTAGGTCGGAGGCAGCATGGAATCGCTGAGGGAGCACATCGATGCTGTCGCGAGGCAGGAGCTGTTCCAGGGATGCGATTTCAAGCTCGCTGCGTGCTCCCGGCCTATGGATCGCGATGCCGCTGCGAGCTGTGGTTTAGATTCCTTGTCCGTTCGTCTGGTTGAGGTAATTCTTTTCTCGCAAGTTCTTGCTCGAGCAAAGCTTTTTTCGTTTTTTCGGCTTTTTAGGAAATCGCGTGACGCTTGGTGTATTCCCTTCTCCATCGCTTGCAAATGCTGGGAAGCATCTATCGCCAGAGCAGTTCCATGGAATGCTCGACCAAGCAGGTTTTGGTTGTTTTCTTTCCAACTTACAAGATTTTCATTCGTGCAGGGAGCTTGAAACAAAGCAACGCTGCCCCCCAAGATACGCCAGTACAGTGACTTGCCTGCTTGGATAGACGAGCGCGCGGAGCAATTGCGCAACAAATCAGTACTGATGTATTTCTTTCTAAGTCGTTTCTTTCATTCATTGTGTTATATGCTTTTGCATTTGTTGCAGGTATTTCACTGGAGGTGTCCGGTGCGAGATGGCTTCTGCTTACATTCGTAGCAAAGGAGAGGAATTCGAGAACGTCTACCAGGTTGTTTGGTTTTCTCCTGTTTGTACGGTGGATTCTAACCTCGTGCTACGCAGCTTTCTGGTGGCATTCAGCGGTATCTGGAGGCATTTCCTGAAGGAGGATACTTCCATGGGAAGAACTTTGTTTTCGATCATAGGTAGTGCATGCATCACTCTTACTCGGAAGCTGATAAGCTTTGGCTGGCAGGATATCAGTTCCATCGCTACAAGATAAAACTGTTGGCTGCTGCTATAGTTGCAAATCTCCCTACGATGACTATACTCCACGGCTCCGTTCGCTCCATGTGTCGTATGCTGGTACTTTTATGCGAAAGTTGCAAGGTAATTCGTATATGATCTTTGTCTTCTCTTTACCTTGCATTGTGCTTTCAGGCGTCGGTGCCTTATCTCTGCGAGCTGTGCGCTGCTAATCGGCATTCTAGTGAACCAGTAGAATCAGGACGTGATAAATGTGAGTGCTTATCAAATTTTGATAGCAGACATATGACCCACCGTGAACAGGCTCGAAGTTAAGGATACTGTGCCTGCACGGCTTTCGTCAAAACGCATCAAACTTGAAGGGCAGGCTCGCATCGCTGTCGAAGAAACTCAGACGTACAGCCGAGTTCGTCTTCATAGATGCTCCTCACGAGCTTCCGCTGCTCTATCAACTTCTCGAGGACGAAACGAGGCGCGAACCTACAGCCCAGCCGCACAAGAAATTTGCGTGGTTAACCGATCCGGATGGTCCGAAGGCTAGCACACAAACGTGGACTCCAGTACAGAAGTCTTTCGATCCCATGCAGTACCAAAAGCAAACGTCGGGTTGGAGCGAGAGCTGGGAGTACCTGGGACAAGTATTGGCTGATCGCGGGCCATTCGATGGCGTTCTCGGGTTCTCGCAGGGAGCGGCCGTGGCTGCCATACTTTCTTCACTCAAGGATGCTGGACTGATCGACATCAAGTTCGTCGTGCTGTGCTCGGGGTTCGTTTCGCCGGTGCTAGAGCAACAGGTGTTGGGAGGATTGATCGACTGCCCTTCGCTGCACATTTTCAGTGGGAAAACTGGCTATGACCGGCAAATCTCTTGCACGGAAAGCGAGAGATTGGCCGGGAAGTTCAGGCCTGGCTCTCGAATGATAGTTCGTCATGACTCGGGGCATATAGTTCCCACTCGACCGGACTACCTCGAACAGTACTCCGAGTTTTTCAAGCAGTTTCTATGACTTGTCTTTAAAGTTCGGACGAGGATTGTGACGAACGCCTGCCCGCGCCCGCAAGTTGGTCGAGCTAGAGATTTTTGGAGCGATCGTATAGATTGCGTACGGCCAGCCCTGTCTCTCCAATTGTGCCTGAAGCAGGCGAAGATGATCGCGCAGATGATGCTAACAAATCTATATCGATCCATAAATTTGAGTGTGTCCTATAGTTGGTATATTGAGGAAATACTGGTAAAATATGAATTAATAATTGCTTAAAATATTTTAAATTTTATTTTTATAAATCTTAAATAAAATTTATGCAAATATAAAAATCGTTTACATTCTTTTTATGTCTTTTTTTTAACCTTTTTCTGCTTTTTTACTTCTGATCTTGGTGAGCTTAGTTGTAAGCACACACCATCCACAGCAACTTTCCAACATGATTACTCGCCTGTTGAAGTGTAGACCCCCAGTGTGGATGGTCCTCATCAATGAGCACGAAAAGGCTTTGGAATTGAAACTGAATCCCTCTACCACTAGCTTTGCATTAATCCATTTTATGGCAAAATATGGCTACCGAATTGTACCTCCACAAGACCAAGATTTGAGATTTAAGATTAAATTGTTTGAGGGTTTGAGGCAAAAAAAATCCATAAAAAAGGAAATACTCCATAAATTTGAACTAACTGTAGGTTTATAACTGAGTATGGACTACGTCCATCTCTGCATGCTTGTGAAGCAAACCTACGAGAACAATTTCGGCATCGAAGTCGAGACCGAGTACCATGTGGAGAATTGAACAGCGATAGATGGGAAAAAGCTTCAAAAATAGCTTCCTGTCTATAAACAGAAACGAGGATGACCCTTTTGACGACTCACCAGACGAGGACAATGTGCCACACACTGGCAACAATGGCGGCGGTGTCAGCTCTTTCTACCACACCACTGCTCTGGTGGTGTGGCCCAAGGACTGCCGAATGGAGGCGCTATGCTACACACAGAGCAGTGAAAGTGTAGTGAAGTGGCTCGAGGAGCAGCACAAATGCGAGCCTGGCCGGACGAATGGGGATTTGGAGCGATCCTTGACAAGTAAAGTGGGGTACAAGACGCATTTTGAAATTCTTCTAGATTTTTGCGTCCAATGGTGCTTGATTCTTGGTTGGGCATGGCCCTTGCTATGGCATGAATCCCTGGCTCTGCCCACAACCAGGCTGTAGCTGTGCCTGCAGAAGTGGCCATGACACTAGCTATGGCTGACTGACTTTGATCTTTTCTTTTTCTTTTTCTTTGTCTTTTTCACTGATTAGCTTTTTCTGTCCGGTTCTTCCAATGAGCTGATTGAGATTGGTCTTTCTTTTGTTCTTCTGTTTCTAGCAGGCCTGTCTATTACAAGGCTCTTACGTTTAGATTCAAAGTTCTCTGTTTCTCTTAAAATGAAATGGAGCATTTGCCAGGTGGCAATTCAAGGATATACAGGGTAAGGTTTTCTACTCGACGTCCAAGCCTGGGAGGATGGGAAATGGGTGCCATTGGAGGTGCGTCTTAAGGAGGAGATGGAGAGGGCCAAGGACCAAAAGGCCAAGGAGGCAATGCCCTCCTTGGAGGTGAGGGAGGCCAAGAACCAAAAACTCAAGGAGCTGTTTCTCAAGATGGTGGTAAAGGCCGAGCGTTTCGAAAACCAAGGAATTGGGCGAGGTCGATAAGGGTGGCAAACAAGCCCTAGAGGAGGGCCGCAACCAGGAGGGCGTACAACTTCTCCCCAGGTATGACTTGCCGGGTTTGTGTGTCAAAGAGCGATGAATTGTGAATGTAAAACAAGTTTGCTTTGTTCTGTCTTGAGCAGTGTAAGCCTATTGGTATCCTTGATCGATTCGAGGATTCCTTATAATACTCATCCTCTTCAATCTCCCCTTCATTTAATATAAATTCTCCCTTCATGGTGAATATAGAAAACTTGGAATAAAACTAAAAACTCACCAGATAAAAGAACATAGTACGAATGTTTTGCAAACTTTATATGGAGAAGTCGTTTGAGGAACAGTTGAAGCGCTCAGATATGAACATCTTGTACCTGAATGTGCACAATCTAAGAAACTCTAGTGTACAAACACATCCCATACCTCAAACATGGCACGCCTGTGAAAAACGTTTTGGAGCGCCTGCTCTCCCGAAGATGAGATCCCTCTAAAGTAGTACGTTGCGAATCTGTATAAAATCGTAAGGAAGATAAGCTTGAAGTCCGCTGAAAGCCTGCAGCATCCGAGATAAACTTGAAGTTGGCTGAGAGCCTGGGGAAGAACCATGTAAACCCAAAGAGGCCACCTCCGAGTCAAAAGAAACACTTCCCGCTAAGAGCCCCTTATGGTAGCTAAGAAAGGAAGTACGTAGAACCTATAGAGCAAAATTGATTAATCACCGTGAAGAGAAAGAACTGGGATACCACTAGTTTTTGCAAGGGTGCCAAGAAGTAGTATCTAACCGATTGGTGGCGAAGGAGCTTCACCTCTAATTCGGACAAACAAAACATGTTGTCTTTTCAAAGGAGCTTGTTCATGTACCTCGATTTTGATCGATAGCTCCAGTGCTTGGATACTTGAAAGCAGAGGGATCTCCAACGTACAACATATCTTCATATGGTCGAATCCCGTCTTGAGCAACAGAGAAAAAATCGTTTATCATACGCTTCCTCCCGAGCACCGAAATGACCAAAGCCAGGATAAGGATATTGGAAAAAATATCATCATCTATCTATCAATCAAGCCTTGCTCTGTCGGCGTGTGCCTGTGTGTAGGCAGAGGGATCCGTGAGAGGGGCTGGGGGGGCACAGCGATCTAGAGGGATTCTTGCAAGAAATTTGATAGATCGGAGCTTGCATTACCTGTGCTGCCGATGGAAATAAGCCTGGGATTATCACCTGGAGTTTAATATCAGAATCGATCGATCAAAGCCTTGGATTTACCTTGAGCGCTGCTCTATCGCGGCGTGCCTGTATGTAGACAGAGGGATCCATAAGCAGCGATCTAGAGCAATTCCTGTAAGAATTGAGGTGATCATCTCCGTGCTGCCGATGGAACCGCGCCTGGGATCATTGCCTAGAATTTCATAAAAATATCACGAATCTGTCCATCAAGCCTTGGATTGCGCTGCTCGGTTGGGGCACCACAGCTGTGGAGCTGCCATGGTTGCTTTGCGCTAGCCCTGAAAATTTGAATGAAGCGGGAAGAATACTTAATGAGCTGGACAGCAACGTGGCGGTGACGTGGTCAGCTTCTACGAACGATATGGAGCGAGAAAAAGCCTTGCGTTATACTTTCGGCGAGAGCACAGTACCTCGGAGAAGCGCCTTGATAACTTTCCCTTGAGTAACACTATTTAGTCGTGATCAGAGAAGAGCTTTCCCAAGAAATAGTACCTCTGCTTGAGATTCCAGTCAATCTCGCAGCGAATGGCAGTTGATCAATCCTCCTCCTGTTGCTACTCCTCTAGCACAGGCGAAACGATCGCTATACCGGCGTATCTTGGGGTCTTACAGCATTTGCTTCAGCCTGGCATTCCTATGTTTTTGCCGACGGAAAGCCGGAACATCTAGAAATAAATCTCAGAATTTAAGGTGGGAGTAAGCTAGCGAGACGTTATACGAATTTACAGAAGCGCAAATAAGAATGCTGGCCTGTATAGCTCGCCTTGCAGCATTTGCCTGTAATGGGCATAAGTTTGGAGGCTTTATGTTTGTTTTCCTTGTCAAGGCACATTTTCTTTCGATGGGCATTTGTGTTTCTTTGATGGCTGCACTGCTCTTCTATTTGTTGCTACATTTGGTGTCGCAGGTTCTAATGACTGTAACTGGTTTTGCTCACTGACTTTGATTTTATTTATTTATTTATTTTCTTGAAAATGTTTTCTTTTTATCAAACTGCTGAGTTTTTTGCCACGAATGCATGATGCCTGATTGACTTTGGTCTTTCTGTTCCGAGCAGGCCTTTCTTCGACAAGGCTCTTGACCGATGAAGCAGAGGAGCTGCAGTTGATTCCAGGACGTCATAATTTCAGTGTAAGAACTCTTTTCTTGCGGCTCGATCTTAGCTCTGAATTGTATGATGCAGCATTTGTATTCGCTCATCATCAAAAGCCGTGATCAGGACGTTTGGTGGTATTTGCAGAATGGTTTCGCGGACGAATTGTTACTTCCTGAGGCACCGAAGAAGAAAGAAGGAAGATAATCTAAATAGGTGTTTGCAATCATGTTAAAAACTAGAATTCTTCCTGCAAAGTGGAATTCGAGGGAGGACTTTGCTCTTCTCTGGCCTGTAGACAGTCTCGCATTGGGCTGTACTATGTTCGAAGTCTCTGTCCAAAATATATCATATTGACAAGAGTCTATGTTCACGAGAAGTGTGAGAAATCATCTCTCCTTGGGCTGTACTATGTTCAAAGTCTGTGTCCAAAATATATCATATTGACAAGAGTCTATGTTTGCGAGAAGTGTGAGAAATCATCCTCTCCTCAAAGATTTCTTCCAGGTAGATATGCAATGTTCCTTTGCTGCCAGCGTCTGGAGCTTGCTCCTGCAAAGCTTGCATTTGTTTGCAGAAATCATCACTGTCGACATCCGATGGAATACGTTTTTGCCACTTCTCGATCATCATCTCAAGCTCCTGCCTCTTGTTTTCCAGCTCTTGGACCTCCTTCTCGTCGTTCAAGGCTGCTGCTTGTAACTCCTCCACCTTGGCCTGACACTGAATAAATTCTTTGTTCCTCGTGAAAGCTGAGGCTGCTGCTGGAACCAATGAGCATTGCTCGCGTTCTTCGCAGGGCACACTTGCAAATCTTGGAACTTCGAATGTTCTAAAACAGAGGAAGAGCTTTGAACTTGTGAGAAACGAAAACTTTGATCTTACCTCCGTGATCCAATAAGAACTTGGCCTTTGTCACACCTTCCCCCGTCGAGAGATACTGCTTGGCACGACAAACTCATCTCGTTCCACGCATTTAGCATGTTTTCTTCCGTGTTGTAGACTTGTAGCTTCCGGAAAACATGGTAGAACAAGCTCTGGCGCAGCTCCAAGTGCTCGCGTCTCAAGTAGAGAAAGTTGACTCCATAGCCCAAGAAACCAGCCGGGATTTCGCCATTGGATAGAACAGGCGGTGGAATGTTAAGGAGCTTCTGAGGATGTTGAGCATCTACCGCGGCATTCCCATCCTTACGCTTGTATTGCCTGGTGAAGAACAAGATCACAGCGAAGTTTTGCTCGATGCGTGATATCAACTTACTTAATCGCGTCGATACGAAATACTGGAAAGTTCTCTGGAATCCAGAGCTTGTTGCTGCGAACAAACGCTAAAAAGGCCGTGGAGTTGTCCACGTTTGCATCAGAGCTTCTCAGCCATCGTATGCCTTTGTAAGTCTTGCACACGACTTGCAGGAGGGATCTGGCTCCAAGAAACGTGGATAAACTTCTGAAACGAGCACAAACACACATAAAACGTAAGAAAAACAGAACACATGAAGGAGAAAAAATAAGCTAGGAAGGATTACCTGTTGATTTCATCCTTCTCAACCCGAGCGAGAAGAACAATCGGCCCCAGAATGTCATCCAAAGGAAAGCCTATCGGTTTCATCTCTTGAGCCGTGTACAGCGCCAATGCCGGAGAATTCTCCTTGTGAACCAAAGTCTTGAGCTCGTTTAAGATGTCGCCCTCCGTTCTTTGAGTTTCATTTCTTTCACGGAGCAAAACCTCGTCATCGCTGGCAGCTCGTCGACGCTCATAAACACTCAACAAGCTTGCCTGAGCCTGCTTCAGCAAATCTGAAGAAAATAGCGTTCACTTAAGGCGGACAAGCAAAAGAACTCTTCTACCTGTATTACGACCCAATGACTCTTGGGCCGCATACAGCTTATTTGGAAGATTTTTGAGAGCTTTATGGCATTCTTTCAGGCCACAGCCAATACTTTTGATCATCTGAGAAAGATAACGTAAGGGGCAAATACACAACTATAAAAAATGATATCACGTACCGTTTCGGATTGTTCTACAATGTACTGGTACAAGTGCTTCTCCACTTGTTCGCGAGAATAGTTGCCTCGAAGAACAGCCAAACGAGAAGTAGCACTCTTGACGTCGTTAAACTCGGCTCCAATAGCACATACCTCGAACGTAAACAACTCTGGCATGATTTCGAGATCACTGAAAGTAGCCTGCCCATCTATTGCGGTCACACAGCAGATCGCAGGCTTGGCAGCGCGCTGCAGCGTGAGAGTGCCACGAAGTGAGATCTCTCGACAACCGAAGCACCTGTTGTCATGAATATCCACGACGTCCACCACCACCACGTCGGTATTTTCCTGCTCCATGTTAAACTTGAGCCTATACGGCCTTCCATGTACCACGTTAAGCTGCCACTTGATCGGGGTCACTTCGTCGCTGCCTTCGAGCACAAACTTGAGGACGTAAGGTCCAGCTCTCGCCGGTACCACCACGCCTTGGAAAACATAGACAGATGCTTCGTCGTCTCTCTCTCCAGACTTTGTCAAGCAGTTCTTCCCGAGCGGATCCCAGACCGAGACGGTGAGCTGCTGCAAGGCCTGTAGGGGGCGACCGTCTTCACATTCCACCAGAACCCACATTTCCGGCACGACTTGCTGCTCGTCATCCCTGTCCGACAGTGTGAGCTCACGAGGAGTCTCGCCGAGGAGCCGTAGCAACGTTGGATTGTTTCCAGGAGTGACTTCCAACGGGACCGAGACTTGCTTCGAAGATGCTCTGATCACCAAGTTGTAGACGCCCAGCGGCATGTCAACCCAGAAGCTTTGAAATGCAGCAAAACCATCCGTCGCGTATGCCACTTTCTCAAGTCTTTCACAAGTGTCTGGAACGATGATCTCTAGAGAAACTTCTTCGGCTTTGTAGCCGCTGTTACAAACGTTGTCCTTGTGATCCACCAGACAAACTGTAGCTCCGAAAAAAG